TTGACCGACCGACCAATCACTAACAACGGATGGACCATAGTCAAATTTCAACATCCATTGCCCTATTTAGGTTATTGAGTGAGTCCAAGCTCCATAGCTCTTTAATTTTAACTTTATATATCCATGCCGATCTTAAACTATAATAGAGGAGGGTTTGATTGTACTTTCGGTTCGTGTTTTTTAGATAGTAAATTAGTATAGCTCTTTTTAAATAGTTGAACTTAAGTATTTTAGTATTGTCTCTAAAATAAAAATAAAAAATAGTTTAGAAGACATATTAAACGAAAATGTGAAACACAAATGAAACAAAAAAAATCGTTCATAATTTATCAGATAGTTCAAGAATATAACACATTTAAAATAGAAATATAATATTTTATACTAGTATATGTGGAGGATAAAGCCAACACAATCGAATTTGTTATGATTTTTAGAGGAAAGTTGAGATCTCTGATCTAAAACCACGAAGACAAGAACGAAGATGTAAATTTGCTGTTAAGAAAACTTTATTGATTTTTGCTAATTATACGAGTCTATGTACATGTCTATGTATACGAGTTTTAGGTCGGCTAGATCAACCTCCAAATAGATAAGGAAGATTTTCTAATTTATAGGGATTTCTTATTTGTCGAAATCGGCTCTGATTACCAGCTCTGATTTCATTGGCTTTAACCTCGTCGCACAGCTCTTATGGGCTTGACCTTGCCAACTTGTGTCTTGGGCCTCAGGATAATTGAACTCGCCACTTTGTCTTTGTTGACCTTAGACTCGCCATCTCGTCGTTGTAGACTCTAAATTCGGTCCAACTCGTCCTTGTGATAAATGTGCCTAGCTCGACTTATGACGAAGTAAGTTTCTTGGCGAGCTCTCTATTTCAGCTCGTTCACCTAACCAGCTTGCCATTCTGTTGGCTTGTTTGATCTTGGTCAGCTCGCCATTCTGCTTATCGACTTAGGCAGCTCGCCATTTTTCATGTTGACTTAGTCAACTCGCCATTCTGTTTGTTGATTCAGTCAGCTTGCCAAGAAAATAATATTTATCCATTTTCTTGATGATTTTAGCCGAGGGGAGTTTTGACTTCAAGGTAAATTATGTATATGTAAACATTTTACATCAAATGGTAATAACCGATAAAGGAATTACCAAATAAATAAATAAAAACACAAAATATAGAATTTTATATGACGGCATATACTTATACGTGTGTATATGTATACTTTTAAATGGGAATGGTGAAGGGGATAAATACTTTTAGGTTTGGTGCATAATTCTATTATTCTACTTTAACTATATGTTTAGTATATGGTTGATGTAGATATCCAATAATAGATTAGACTTTTCTCTAAAAGACTCAAATATGCCATGTTATTATCAACAAAAAGCCACATTTAAAGGCTGAGAAAATGACAGCCATTACATTATAATATAATTTCATTTTTTCACTATTATTGTCTCCTTCTTGTTGTTCCCATTTGCTCCAATGTGTACTCCTTTCATGAAGCAAACCATCCTCTATACCTTCTAGAGAATACACTTACAAACATTTGCTTTTCTTGTTTTTTTTTTCCCATCATTTTAATTTCCTTTTAAGTTTGTCTCACCTTCTTTTATTAAATAAGAATTATATGCAAAAAAAAAGGAGAGAGAGTCAACGCAAAGGAGAAGCAAACACACACTGGGCTCGAGAGACCTCTCGACAGGTTTAAGAGACACTGAACGTCTTCTTCTTCTCGGGCCTCTCCCCA